AGACCGCTTCGCAGCAGCGTCAAGCGCCACTTGCACAGCATTCGGTCGGTACACACTGAAAGAATTCCCGTGTGAGTTTAACCAAGCCTCATGGACTAGGCGCTGCACGGGAGACGACTAACAATTACGGGTGGTTTTCTGCGTGAGCATGTTTTTGAGGGGCAGTTGTGATTGCCATTTGCCGCAATGACGGCACCGCCATTCGCCGAGTTCAGCATTGTGCCAGATCGGGTGCTTGGTGGTCTTGAGTTGAAGGGGCCGAGGGTGTTGGAGCGGAAGGAGGGAATCTACTTGGTCACCGTTCCACCGTTGGCCTTGCAACAACATCCAGGTTGCTCAAGCTTACAACTGAATGGCCGGTTCACGATACGCAAAGTCACCATCCAAGGCGTTCGAGAAGCCCTCAGGGACAACAACACGGTGAGTGGCAGAACCGAGCTTGGCGGGAACAAAGAACGCGCAGAAGTCTCCAGCCCAACGCTCGAGGGCAACATTTTGCCCAATGGTCTCTCTGATGTTCGGATGGGCGGGGAACCATACAACATTGGGGGAGAGAGCGCCCTTCGTGGTGGCGAAGCAGATCGGCGCAGATCGCAGCATGCCTTGCTCCGCCTTGCCCAGAGTGCGTTGAAAGTCCCAAGAGGTTCTTTCTCGCAACGTGGGCTGCACATCAGAAACCACCTTTAAATCGGGCATGTTCCTCTACAGGACGACTGTTCAAAAATAGTTAAAACGTAGTCTGGGGACGATTGTTTGGAGTAGCTTTGAGCATTGTTGAATATTTGTAGAGTACTTTCTAAATTCTTCCACACATCCGCCTGTATGGAGACACGCCTGACCTGAAACTGCCGTGGCAGTGTCGGGATCAGGCGATCGCAAACATGGATCAAGGGGGCGTGGATTAGCGACGGGTCCCGTTTCCATGGGAAATCGCGGATTTCCGCCGCCGAGCGAGGCGGCACCGGCCGCATTTTGGGGAGGGCACCTCCCCCGATCCGTGGATTTGGCGACCGCGCGCCAAATCCACGGATCGCTAATCCAGGTTGGCGCGCCCCCGACGGGGGAGGCGCTGGCCCAGCCCCGTGGCATCTATGATGTTCAGACCTACTGTAGCCTGGATCACCAGAATGAATTTCGACTACCAGAAAAGTACCCAAACACTCTCGGGTTTTCACGTGTCGGGCCCTGGGAGACTGTTTCGACATTCTTTCGACACTTTCCCGGGTGCTCGAAATCATTTCTGGGATGTGGTCTTTAAGTACGATGGGAGCAGCATAAACCGAGGAGCCATCTGGATCGCCAGCCCATGCTGGGAGCATTTATTTGGGGTATATTTTATTTTTCGTCCAAACAAAAAATCCCCGTGTAGGAGGACATGCCCGACCTAAGACACCTCCCGTCCACGAAACTCACAAGGCCACCAGGTCTCAGAGACGGACTGGACCGGACACTTGGCGTTTACTAAACGGCCTTGGGCGTTTACGAAACAACCTTGCCCTGTTCGATTCTTTCCTTGGGTGCGTTTCCTAAACGGCCTCGCTTGTCGGGGAGGTTCTTGTGGGGGGGGTGTTTGCCCGATACCTCAGGCATGCTGGGCGGAAGGGAGACAACTCCCGTCCACGAAGCTCAAAGCCAGCCGCGCGCAGAGAGGGGGGTGCGGGGAGGCGGGAGGGCTTCCTGGAAGCACCCCTGCCGCTTCGAAGGCGCGGGCTTCATCTGCAGATGCGGGGCCGGCGCCTTCGAAGAAGCAGCCTCCTCCGACGGAGTCGGGCCGGGCGAAAGGGGGGGATTGGGAAAGGGGGGGTTACGAAATCTGCTGCATGTAGCTGGTTTCGGCCCCGCCGCCGGGCCATTCCTCGATACATGGCCGCCTCCGGCGCCGGGAGGCGCCGGGAAAATCAGCTACGTGAGCTGATTCTCAAACCCCCCCTTTGCTATCCCCCCCTTTCGCCCGACCCGACGAAGCCCCCCCCCTCCCCCCACCCCCCCCCCCTCTGCGCGCCGCCAGCAGGGGCCCCCCGGCCGCCGAGCCCCACCGGGAGGCCGCAGGATGATGGCCTCGGCGGCCCGGAGCCCCACGCGGGGCCGGCCGCCGAAGCGGGGGCCCACAACATGCGCTTGGAGGGAGCGGTGGCCCACCCGCGGCGTGCCGGCACCGGCCGGCGAGGGGCTCCCGAGGTCCAGTCGGGCCGGACGAAAGGGGGGGATTGGGAAAATGGGGGTTACGAAATCTGCTGCATGCAGCCGGTTTCGGCCTCACCGAGGGGCCCATTCCTCGATAAAAGGGGCGCCTCCCGGCGCCGGGCGACGCCGGGAAAATCAGCTACGTGAGCTGATTCTCAAACCCCCCCTTTGCTGTCCCCCCCTTTCGCCCGACCCGAGTCAAGTCGGGCCTGTCCCTCTACAGGAGGAGAGTTCAAGAACAGTGAGAGATGGTACGGGGACGATCTTTTGATCGTGTCTGAGCATGTTTGGAATACGTTTTTTGACCACTTTCTATTTTTCGCCCCAAATCCCCCTGTAGGGGGACAGGCCCGACCTCATCCTACGGGCCCCGCGGTGGCTCAACAAAAGCCGCAGGCACGGGCTCGCCCAGAACGTCAGTCTCACCGTCGTGAATGCGGGACTCACAGCAATGTCGCACGTGGCCGTAGGAACCCACAGGGGCGATGCCGTAGTCTTGTTCGGCCCTTGCTGCAGGGAGGGGGATCGCGTCGGCCCAGACCGCGGAGAGGGCACCCCCACGTAACGAGGACACGATACCGCCCTAAGCCCTCCACGTGTTCTCCCACAGATGCTCCCACAACTATGCAGGAACAACCTCTTCTGCTGCCACCTTTGGGTGCCTGCGATGATGTCGAGCCTGACGTCAGGAGGACAGGCAGCAATTCGATGGATGCGATGCCCGAGGTCGGAAGTACAGATGCGCGCTGGCTCCATATCCCATCCAACCCTTCGGAGCGAAGTCCAACAGGCCGTCATGGGCCCTTTCACTATCTGCCACGTCGGATTGTCCCGCACGCGCTGCTGCAAGATGGCCCAAGCCCTCTTGGGCCTTCCCAAGCTGATCCTGATACTTGATGGTGACTCCGAGCGAACATTCGAAGATAGGGGTCATGCAGTGGGTCGCGATTCGCCCGTAGACAGCCGGTCACACCGCCGTGCTTCTTCCCTCCTGCCAGAGTTGCTGCCATACTGCGAAAATATTTGAGCGCCGCGTCTGAAACTCAAACCACATGACTTCCATCGCCGGCAACAGACAGAGCACCAGTGTGCCACAGCGAAGAGGATTTGCGCTCTATGACGCTGCGTAGCGCCATGAACTTACGCCTCCTGGCAGCGATGTCTTTCAGCCTGGAGCACCTTGGGCCCATGCAAGCTCATGCCCCATCAATGGCCGAACATTCAGCCCCCACTGACTCGCACCTCGCTTGAACAGCTCCCCTGCGCCGAACCTGCCGTCGCACTCGACTTCTGGGGCTGGTTCCACGGCCCTGCCACTGCAACGTCAGAGCTCCGAGGCGGGAATCTATACATGACCGCCACCGGTGGATATGGACATGTTCGGCCCCCTGGGGCCGAACTATATCCATATCCACCGCCCGCTGGGGCACCAGGACGTCGGCTCCCAGGCGGCGGATATGGACAAGTCCTCGCCTCGCAGGAGCAGAATCCGTGCACTCCTGCTCGGGGGCGGCCAGCGGCCTGCGGGGGCCTCGCCTTCCTCCTCCCTTCCTGCCGCAGGGCGCTCACGGTGCGGGCCGGTGCTGCGCGGCCTCCTCCTCCTCCTCCTCGGAGGGAGGAGGAGCGATGCCAACACCACCAGGGGGCCCACCGCCAGCGAGGAGGCCTACGGTGCCTCGTCGAGCTGGAGGCTGGGGATGTCTCGAGCGAGAGGGGGCGACCACACCACCAGGGAGTTTCCCCCTCGACTCCTCGCATCTCCTCGCTCTGTTGGTGTTGGTGCCGCCTTTCCTTGCTCCTGACTGCGATCCTCCTCCCGGCGGGACCGTGGCACTGCTCGGTCTGTGATTGAGTCGGGCCTGTCCCTCCACAGGAGGAATAGCCCCAAAAAGTTAAACAATAGTCTGGGGACGATGTTTGTTGATTCTGTTTTGACCATTTTGCGGTATTGTTCTGCCTTTTCTTATTTTGTTGTCCAACATCCCCCTGTAGGAGGACAGGCCCGACTTCAGTCTGCGACCAGCGAACTCACGCCGCAGGCCTGCGGGAGCCTTGCCGCGCTCCGCGCGTCCCTCCACTGGTCCCGCCTGCCCGCCCCCCGCGGGCGCTGAGTAGTGCCCCGGCGGCGGCGAGGGGTGGAGGGTGGAGAGGCCTGGGAGGGAGGGTTCTGCACTCTTCACACCAGCTGGGTGAGTGGCCCAGATTGCATGTTGTCCTGCCACGCGCGTGGCAAGTGCGCGACAAGAAGGGGCCCCCCCTTGGAAGGGCGCTGTCTCGGGAAATCCCGGGAGTGGCGCGGAGAGCCTGTCGCTTGTCGGGCGGAGTTTGCAGTTTGGGCGAGAGGCCCCGCCTAAGCCTGTCCTCGCGGTGATGCAGTCCAGAGTCCGTGCTTAAGAGGTGGCCAGAGCTGGGAAGTCGGGTGACGTTGGGACTGCGGGACCTGCCCCGTCCGCCGCGGTCGTGCCGAGAGCCCGGGGCAGTGGGCCTTCGGCTGAGCTTGCGGGCGCACCCTCTCAGCGGCACGTGGAGGGCGACCCGAGGCCGAGGAAACGCGGGGTCGGAGGCCACGCCCCCTCCCGTGTTTGTCCGAAGTTGTGAGCCCGCCTGGGCCCAGAGGAAGAGGCGGCGATGCGGCTCTGTGGCGGCGCGGATCTTGGTCGCCTTGCGGGACCCGAGCCAGCTGAATGTCTGCCCCCCTTGGAGAGAGGTGGGCAGATTCCGCGGCCGCCAGGTTTGGCGCGGGATGCGCCTGAGAATTGACGGTCCTCTTTGCGCCCAGGGTTGCTGTCTTGGTTTCCACCTTCACGGCGATGTTGGGGGCGAGGGTTGGCTGCGACGCGAGGGTGGCATCGATGCGAAGTCTTCCCAGCGAGTTGTCCTCCCCATCTCCTCCTCCTCGCCCTCCTCCTCCTCCTCCGCCTCTTCCTCCCCCTCCTCCTTTTCTTCCTCCTCCTCCTCCTCCGAGAGAGAGAGAGATAGAGACAGAGAGAGAGAGAGAGAAACAAAAGAGAGAGAGAGAAAGAGAGAGAGAGAGAGATACATCTATATATGTATATATACAGAGAGAGAGAGCGAGAGAGCAGGCCATCTTTGTGGGCAGCCCGCTGTGCTGAGTACCAGCAGGCGGTGGTCTCGCCATTGTTGCCATCCAGGTGTATTGAACCGTGCCGTTAGATGTCTGAGTCCAGGATACAATTCCCACCGAAATCCATTTGTTCATTGATAAATTCTTCCTCCAAGGCCAGAACACTTGCCCCGAGAGCCTCAGCCAGACCCTCATAGCAGCCTCGGACAGCATGCGGCACATGATCGGAACCGACCTCGACGGGGAAATCGCCATCCACGAGTCTGTTGTCCTCGCTGCGTCCACTAAAGTCAGGGACCCCTAGTAATAAGGCTCTTGGGAAATACGCAGGTCCCCAGCAGCTGCAGGATGCAGCAGCCAACCTAGGCATATATGGCATTGCAGGCGGACGTGTTCGCAGTGGCAAAGGGCGCGCAGACTGACGGCAGCGTTTTGAGAAGCTCGCGTTGACACCATGCCAGCCTGGATCAGGCCAACCACTACGGCAGCGAGGTTGTAGGGCTTACCGACTCGGAGTTGATTCAAAGCCAGAAAGTGCACCTCAGCACCGTGCAGCCCCGCAGTTTTCACGAGATCTTGGGTCCTCAGCCTGTGTCTCCTGGGAGGCCCCCTTCTTGAAGGCCGCCCTGGAGCCCGTCATGTATTGCGGCCAAGACGGGGGGGGGCACAAAAGGGAGTTGCCCAGCGGCGGGGAGGCGACCTCGGGAGTCAGTGGGCCAGGAGGGCAGGTGCAATGACAAGGCCAGTGGCGGACCACAGAGATCGAGAGACCGTGCACACACACGTGCACACACATACAACACCACCACCACCAACAACAACAACAACAACAGCACCACCACCAACCACGGCAACAACAGCAACACGACCACCAGCAACAGCAGCAACTCCAACAACGACAACCACAGGCGCACCACCAACCATATCACCAGCAACAGCACCACCAACAACAACACTTTCAACAACAACACACCATCAGCCACCACACCAACAACAACATCAATACCATCACCACCAACAACACACACCATGGCAGCAACAACAGTAACAACATCAGCCACATCAACACCAACACGAACACAACAAAAAACACCAACAACACCAGCAACAGCAGCATCAACTACTACACCTACAATCACAGCAACGACAACAACGCCAGTCACACCAAACACAACACCAACTACAGCAAAACCACCGACAACACCACCACCAACACTAGCAACAGCAGCAGCACCACCACCACCGCCAACAAAACCATCACCAGCACCACCAGCAACAACAACAGCAGCAGCAACACCACCAACAACGAAACCACCGCGACCACCACCACCAGCAACAAGCAGAAACCTGTGGGCGCAATCGGAAAGCGTGGGGACACACCGTTGTGTTTTCGGGGGGTAGCCTGGGCGGGCCCTGCTCGCTCCTGGGATGGGAGGGGTCTGGCTGCGGCCGCCCTCGGGAGGAGCCGCAGGGGTGCGGGTGAGGAGAGAGGAGAGGAGCGGGACGAGAGAAGAGGAGGAGGAGGAGGAGGAGGAGGAGGAGGACGACGAGAGGAGGAGGAGGAGGAGGAGGAGGAGGAGGAACGAAGGAGGAGAAGGAAAGAATGAGGAGCTGGAAGACAGGGATAAGGAGCAGGAGCATGAGTGGACGGAGAAGGAGAAGAGGAGGAAGAGGAGGAGGGTGAGGGAAGGAGGAGGAGGAGGAGGAGGAGGAGGAGGAGGAGGAGGAGGGAGGAGGAGGAGGAGGAGGAGGAGAAGGAGGAGGAGTTAGAGGAGGAGGAGGAGGAATGGAGCAGAAGAGAAGTGGAGGAGAGAGGAGGAATGAGCAGGAGGAGGAGGAGGAGCACCAGGAGCAGAGCAGAGGACCAGGAGGAGCCGGACGGAGGCCTCCACCCCCGCCGGCGGGGGGACGTCTCGAGGCGGCCGCCCCTCCGCAGGGCCTCTTTGTCGCCGCCGCAGAGTCGGCCCAGCGCATGGACCTCCACGCGCAGCACCTGGCCGCCATACTGTGGGCAGGGCACGGGGAGCCGGATGGGAGCCCACCCAAACCCTGGCGATCGCAAACATGGATCAAGGGGGCGTGGATTAGCGACGGGTCCCGCTTCCATGGGAAATCGCAGATTTCCGCCGCCAAACGAGGCGGCACTAGCCGCATTTTGGCGAGGGTTCCTCCCCCGATCCATGGATTTGGCGACCGCGCGCCAGATCCATGGATCGCTAATCCATGTTTGCGCGCCCCCGACCAGACCCCCTCGAGTCATGACAACAATCATGACCTGCAGTTTTTCGCCATGTTCGGCCTTTGGGGGACCTTGCCAGGCCTCGGGGCTGTCAGACAACGGCTCAAGACGAGAAGCCAGTCCTGGAGAGTGGGTCCGGACATCCCCGGGGTTCGCGTCATGAGAAAATCATGATTTCGGGGGTCTGGGATTGCTGCTCTGAGCCTGGCGCATGCGCGCTGCGCGGGCCGGAGGGTTACCGTGCCCCTCTGCCACGGGTTTTTTCCGGGAGGTCCACGGCCGCCTCCGCTTTTTTCGAGTTCGCGCGCGCAGGTTCGCACGGCCTCGTGACGCATCGCAGACGTCGATGTGAGTGCAGAGGAGGGCACCCAGCCTTGGCCGCCAGAAACAATCTCGAGCACCAGGAGAGTATCGAGACTGCAGGTTGTTGACGTGGCGGGCCCTGGGAGCCGATGCTCGTTCGGCACTTAGCCAGCGTGCCAGGAAAACACCGCTGCGATACTCCTCGGGGTGCGCGGGATTATCTCTGGGATGTGATCCTTAAGCACGATTCGAAAACAAGAAGCACCGCCATAAACATGAACTTTTGGCGCTCCGCGCGGATTTCTTGGACCCGCGGCGGCCCCCCCCGGGCGGCGCCTCCGGCGCCGCCACTGGCGCGTTCCGCGCGCCAGGGAGGGGGGTCCAGCGCAGATCCAAGAGGTCCGCGCGGAGCGCCACAAATGTTCTGCTTGTGGCGCTTGTCCTTCTTCGAGCGATGGGAACAACACAGCCCTCACCCTCCTCTCCCCTTCTCGGGCCGGACGAAAGGGGGGGATTGGGAAAGGGGGGGTTACGAAATTAGCTGCATGCAGCTGGTTCCGGCCCCACCGAGGTGCCCATTCCTCGATACATAAGCGCCTCCGGCGCCAGGAGGCGCCGGGAAAATCAGCTACGTGAGCTGATTCTGAGCGACCCTTTCGCCCGACCCGACCTTCGCAGGGGGGGGCCGCGGCTCCGCGGGCAGACAGGTGGCGAGTCAACCTCGCACACCTGGCACGCTCGGGGCCTCGGCCGGGTGGCACCGGTGCCATCGCGAGGGCCTCACGCGCGCTATACGCGCGAGGGCGGTGCTCCCTCGCGCATGGCCTGCACGGCACGGGGATGGGGGCAGGGGGGGAGGAGGAGGGAGCAGGAGGAGCAGGAGCAGGAGGAGGGAAACAAAAAAAGAAATGGTTACCCTCGAGGAGGAGGAGGAGGAGGAGGAGGAGGAGGAGGAAGAACAGGAAGGGTTTTCATGGGCTCCAGCGGGCAGCAGTCTTTAGCTGGCGATGCGATGCGATGCGCGAATGCGAGGGAGGAGGAGGCGGAGGAAGAGAAGCAGGAGGAGGTTCGAGGCTCGAGGTCCTCCCGTGCTCGTCTTCCCCGATCCTCCCCCAGCCTTTGGAGGGCTGAACCCCGCCCCTTGACGCAGTGAGGGGGTCCCGTGGTGGTGCGCGCGCAGACCCCAGGCGTCAGCGTACGGAACAGAAGCATGGCGGTACGGATTTTGGCGGCCCTTTGCGAGGGCTCTCTTCCTTCCTCCTTCTGGTTCCTTGCTCCTGGTGGCTGCCAGGTTCGGTGAACGTAGCCGTCCCGCCCCACCAGGGCAAGCTGGTGCCAGGTGACCCTGGAAGCACCGCTCCGGAGGCCATCGGCGATGCGATAGATAATTAAAGCAAAACGGGAAGACCGAGGAGAAGAGGACGAGACATCTTCCTCCTCCTGTGCCTACTCTCGTCCCCCCTCGCGTGTCCACGGCCTCATCTCCGGCCGCCCCCCCCCCCTCCTGAGGGGCCTTCCTGGCCCAGGGAGAGGGCCGGGGGGGCTCTCGCCCTCGCTGCGTAGAGCCTCGTGCCGGTCAGAGTCGACTGGACGTCGGAGCGACCCCTCGCCGGAGTGACCTCTGGTGCGGGCCCACTGCGGGTCCCCCGATCGAAGAGCGCGATGCGATGGCAGCGTCCTGCGAGGCCCGTGTGTGGGTCCGCCCGCGGCCCCCGAGGAGCCGCGCACCAGAGGTCCCGCCTACCCGGGGTCACTCCATGCGTGTAGCCGGTTGGGCGTTGCGTAATGGGGGGGTCATACATGGGGGGGTGGCGAGAGTGGTCCGAAAAGGTACCCAAACGGTACCTAAACGAGCGCCCTGGGGCTCCGGAGGGGCCCGCAAGGGGCACGAAAGGGGACCGTTTCTGACCTCCCCATTTATGACCCCCCCGTTAAGCCACGCCCAAGCCGGCAGACAGAGTCTCCAGAGTCTTCTCGCTTTTCCCCCTCCTCCCGCCGAGACGGTGTTCGCATGTCGGGCCCGGGGCGGCGATACTCGTTCGGCACTTCGCCACGGGCGCCGTCGCTCTCGGACCACCTTTCTCTGTTGGGCCTCGTACCCATTTTCTCCGTACGCGCGTGCGCAGACGGGGGGGGCCACTGATATCTTGGCCTCTACGACCGGAAGCCGCGCGACGAAAGCGGCGGGATATGTCTGGCGCGAATTAGTCGTTGCAGGTTCTCCGAAGGGAGGCGTGGGAGGAATCGAAGGCGCAGCTGATGCCGCGAGACGAGCGCGGACGGCGCCGGCGGAGGCTGCTGGTAGATTCGCCCACGAAGTACAAGTTCCAGACAGAGGAGACGTCGGCGTGCCGTGAAGAGCGCACAGCGGACATGAAGAGCGTTGACGAAACATGGTGCAAGAGTCGCGGAACATGCGCAGCAACGTGGGTGGGCGATGGACGGACGCGGTGCGGTGACAATGGGAGCAAGGCGGAAGTTTGCGGCGCCGAGGAGGTGAAGGTTGTTGTTGTTGTGGCAACGCGAAGTGAAACGACAGCGCTGGCAGAGTGCGGTGTTCGAGCGACAAGTGGATGCTGCTTGTTGAACATAGGACGGGGGTGCTGGAAGCACGGAGAAACCACGACGCGGTTGGGGAGAGGCCGTGTCGGAAATGCGCGGGTCAGCGTCAGGAGTTTACGTTCGAGGCCAAACAACGCAAACGGAAAGCAGATGCGTGAGCCGAGCCGCTGATGTGCTGCGCGCCAGGTGACGGGGCGACCTTTGGGAGCACGCGTCATTTAAAACACAAAAAACAAATAAAGGATCACCGAGCGGAGAAACGAGCAACCGTGGTTTGCGGGGATTGTTGTAGTACGCAGGCCATCATTGCGGTGGGAATGGCCGATGCGGCAAAACGGTGTGGGCGGGAGTTTTCAATGGGGCTATACGCACCGAGCGCCGCGGGAATAAGACCAGGAGGGGAGAGAACGACGAGGGGGGAACATAATTCGAGAAGGAGAATGCTGACGAGGAGGAGGGCGAATAAGGAACGAGGAAGGGGGAAAAGGGGGGAAAGTAAGGGGAGGAGGAACAATGTTCAGCCTGGCGAAGGACCCAACCATATGCAGTTGTGTATACCGCAAATACGAATATCGTTTTCGGTGGCGCTACCTCTGGGTAGGGGAGACGCATGCGAACACCCCCACTGGGGCCTTCGGTGGAGCTCCCTATGGGGCTACGAAGCGCTGCCCTGGGTGGGGGACGGGCACCCCCTCTGGGGCCTTCGGTGGAGCTCCCTGTGTGGCTACGAAGCGCTGCCCTGGGTGGGGGAACCGCATGCGGACACCCCCACTGGGGCCTACGGTGGAGCTCCCTATGGGGCTACGAAGCGCTGCCCTGGGTGGGGGAACCGCATGCGGGCAGCCCCACTGGGGCCTACGGTGGAGCTCCCTATGGGGCCACGAAACGCTGCCCTGGGTGGGGGAACCGCATGTGGACACCCCCACTGGGGCCTTCGGTGGAGCTCCCTATGGGGCTACGAAACGCTGCCCTGGGTGGGGGAACCACATGTGGACACCCCCACTGGGGCCTTCGGTGGGGGGAATCGCATGTGGACATCCCCACTGGGGCCTTCGGTGGAGCTCCCTATGGGGCTACGAAACGCTGCCCTGGGTGGGGGGAGCCGCATGTGGACACCCCCACTGGGGCCTTCGGTGGAGCTCCCTATGGGACTACGAAACGCTGCCCTGGGTGGGGAAACCGCATGTGGACACTCCCACTGGGGCCTTCGGTGGAGCTCCCTATGTGGCTACGAAACGCTGCTCTGGGTGGGGGAACCACATGTGGATTCCCCCACTGGGGCCGTCGGTGGAGCTCCCTATGGGGCTACGAAGCGCTGCCCTGGGTGGGGGAACCGCATGTGGACACCCCCATTGGGGCCTTCGGTGGAGCTCCCTATGGGGCTACGAAGCGCTGCCCTGGGTGGGGGAACCGCATGTGGACACCCCCACTGGGGCCTTCGGTGGAGCTCCCTATGGGGCTACGAAACGCTGCCCTGGGTGGGGGATCCACATGTGGACCCCCCCACTGGGGCTTTCGGTGGAGCTCCCTATGAGGCTACGAAATGCCGCCTTGGGTGAGGGAACCGCATGTGGACACCCCCACTGGGGCCTTCGGTGGAGCTCCCTATGGGGCTACGAAACGTGTGAGAGGTGTGCCGAGGGCAGAGGCAAGGAGGGGGGTGGGTGGGGAGGAGGGGGGAGGAGGGCGGGAAGGAAGGAGCGCGGGGAACGAGGACCCAACACCACAGGATGGTTGGGAAAAAAGAGGAAGCAGGATTTGGTCTTGGGGCCATACCTTGGGCCCCCCGGCGATTCCGACACCCCTTGTTCACGGATGTTTCTTGGGGTCCTGTCAGAACGTTGTCGGAGGCTTGGTGGGGCGGAGTTTCGGGCCTTCATGGGATCCGCGTGGGGCTTGGTGGGGGCCTCTTGTGTGCCCTTCTTAGGTTTCTAAGGGGCCCGGAGGTCTCTTGTGCGAGTCCTCAGGGATGTTTCCTGGGGTCTCTGCCGACCGCTCACGGGACTTGTGGGGGGCAGCTTTAGGGCCCTCTGGATGCTGATTGGGTTTTTGTTGGGGGGGCGTCGTGGTGGCTTTGTGGGGCCTCAGGGAAAACTGTTGCATCCCTTGCTTCGGCGCCTCCTGGGAGTCCCTCGAAGCCGAGTGTTCGAAATGTCCATTCTAGTCCCTCGTCTGGGCCCCCCATCCTGGAATCGTTTTGGGAGCGTCGTGGGCCATTTTGAAACCCTCTGAGGCCGTCATGGGGCCCCCTGGGGCCGCTTTTGGGCCGTCTGGACGAGTTCTCGGGGCGATCTTGGGGGCTTCGTGGGCCGTCTTGGACCATCGGTAGGCCCCAATGGCCAGATGCCATATATCATGGAATCATGTCTCCCCTCTTGGTGGGTTTCGTGGGAGGATTGTTGGAGGCGTCTTAGGGGCGTCGTGGGGGCATCCTCGGCCGTTTGGAGACCATCTTGGGCGTCTTGGACGGATCCGTTGGCGATTCGGGGCCCTCTTGAACAGTCTTGGGGGCCTCTTGAGGCTGCCTTCGCTTGCTTTGGGGCCATATCTCCCGTCATGGTGCGTTCGTCCGGGAGCCGCCCACGGCCGTGAGGGGGATCAGTTTTTTTTTTTTTGTGTGCGGGCCCGGGTGGGGCATCAGGAAGGGAAGAATTTCACACGCCTTGAAAAAACAAGGGATCGCCGAGTTGTCCTACTGTACAGTTGCGGAAAATGTTGCCCTCATTGAGGGTTGTTTAGCGGGGTTCCGTGGATTATTTGGAGACGTCTTGGGGCGATCTTGAGCAATCTTGGAAGTAATCGTGGGCTCTATGAGGCCCCCTTGGGCCAACAAGGCGATCCAACTACCCGCGGGGCGCAACGCCCATGTACAAGGAGAGGGTATGGGGGGGTTGCCAAGCCACCCATAAGCAACCAGGCGCCCTCCCAACACACAAGTAGCATCCAAGTCTCAGCATGGACAGGGGCTGCCATCGACAACCATTGGGAACCACTGCAGACGCTAGCCAGAGGAACGAAAACCGCGAGGTGCGCCGCACATGCTAACTGCGCCAGGCGAACCAATTACGCAACATTGGGCAATATGTCGGCCCTCCCACCGTCCCTGTCAACAAAACTCATGCGAAATGACAACATGTTTGCGAGCGGCGTGTCATGTGCGAGTGTGCGTCCTCGATAATTTTGAATATGTTTTCTGACCGGCATGGTGGGCAGTCGCACAACTGGCAGTATGCCGCCACCCGCCATCCCTGACAAACTGATCCTAGGGATGATGGGCCCGCGCAAAGCAGGCAATATGCCGGCACCCCTTCCATCCTTGACGAATGCCAACGCAACGTGAGCGCGGGGCGCTTGCGCATGATCCAGATGCTGGTGAAAAGTGCACTTCGTGTTGTTTCGTGCAAAAGGTGGTTTGGGGGGTGTTGGCATCAAACCCCCGAGTCACTGACAAAAGCCCGTGCAGAGCGGTCGCGGGAATTCAGCGCATGATCCAGATGTTTGTGCAAAGTGTATTTTGCATTGTGTTTGCAAGGGATAGTGGGGTGGTGCTGGCATTGCACAGCGGGGAGTATGACGGCACCCCGCCGTCCCTGTCAAAAAGCCCTGCAAATTGATCGTTGGGCGTCCGCGCATGATTCAAATTCTCGTGCAAAGGGTACTTCGCATGATTCTTTTACGAAGGATGGCGGGGGGTGTTCTCATGGTTTCGGGTTTGTCGCCAGGCCGGTGGGTTGTGCGTATATTGATAAGGAACAGTGGTACACGCCTCCCCGAAGGGGAAGTGGGAAAATTGAACAACGCGCTAGACCACCGCCCAGTGGGCTTGTGGGATTTCACTGCGTCCCCTGGTTCCCTCATTTTTCGCGCACATGCCTCGGGCCACGATTGGCGAACGCCCCTCTTGAACGCCCCCCCTGTTGAACGCCCCGAAAAACAACCAACAAACATCCTGGACCCTGCTTCTACAGGGCCCGCTTCCTTCATGCTGACCGTTGTCCCAGTTCTCCGACGTCATGAATTCTCTTACAACGTGGGCCCCCGGAGGTCTTGACCCCTTCCCCAGGACCAGCTTTTCGTTTGGAGTCGGCTCAAGATGACAAAGGAACATCGGTTTTTGACGACTGTTTCGCCTAGCGAGGGCCCCAGAGGCAGAGCATCGAAAACAATAACAAAACGTCCGTCGCATTCATCCGGATGGCTGAGCAGCACCTGCAGGATGGATTGGATGAGGGCGTCCTCTTAGCGGTTTCCGGGTGTTACCCGCGGTTCTCCGCTGGGACATTCCACGTTGTTGCTTTTGGTCTCGCGACGCGAGGGAGCCTCAGTATCGTTCAACCCTATCCAACTCCCCAGCTACATCTCGAGCCCCCCCGTCTCACCACCTCAGTTGGGGATATGCCCCTCGACACCCGGAAAGAGCAGCCTACGGGGCCAGTGGGGCCCAGCCCACGCTGGTGGGGATGGGGATCGGTTGAGCGATGCTCAGAGCCTGGGGTGCCAGCCGCTGGGAAGGAGCACGGGCAGCCTCGGGCAGCGACAGGGCCCCCCCCCGTTGGTAGGGCGGGGAGGGCCGGCCAGGTGGGCCTTGACGCGGTCACGCGCGAGGTCCCCCGCCTTGAGCGCGTCGGTCGGCCTCCGCCCAGGGTGGGGGGCAAAAGTGGCCAGGATCGGATGTCGCCGGTCAGGGAGGGGGGTAGCAGGAGGGGGAGGGGAGGAGGAGGAGAAGGATGAGGAGGAGGAGGAGGAGGAGGGGGAGGAGGAGGAGGAGGAGGAGGAGGACGAGGAGGAGGAGGAGGAAGAGGAGGAGGAGGGGGAAGGGGAAGAGGAGGAGGAGGAGGCGGAGGAGGAAGAAGAAGGAGAAAACTAATATTAAGAAGAACGATCGTAATTCTTCCATAATCAGAAACATACGACTAATCAGAATTGAATGAATAATGCGAAGAAAACGAACAATTATAGCAATCTTTCGAGTAAGAAGAATATAACAATGATAAGAAGAAGAGTAATAAGGAAAAGAGGAGGAGGAGGCGGAGGAGGGGGGAGACCGAAGAGGAGGAGGAGGAGGAGGAGGAGGAGGAGGAGGAGGAGGAGGAGGAAGGGGTGGAAGAGGAGGAGGAGGAGGAGGAGGAGGAGAAGGAGGAGGAGGACGAGGGCGAGGACGAGACCAGGACGAGGAGGAGGAGGACGAGGACGAGGACGAGGAGCAGGAAAAAAAGGAGGAAGAAGAAGAAGAAGAAAAAGAAGAAGAGGGGGGGCACCCGCGCGAGCGGAAAATCAGACTCGGGTGAGCTGGCCCGAAGGCGTTTTACGGTGCACCCACAGCTGAAGCCGACGACAAAATGCGAAGGGCCCACCTTGCAGGCTTGGTTAACAGCACTCTGAGCGTTGCTGCGGCCCCCCATGAACACAGGCCCCCTTACCCAGAGCATCAGCCAGTCAAGTCCGGTGTGCACCCTCATGTCTTGCCGGACTCTGGGCGCGTTTCGGCGCTGCTACTGCCGCCGTCGCCCCCTTGTCAGGGCCACCGACTCAATGTTGTGGCGACAGCGACAGCGGCTGCGGCCGACGCGTCCAAACTTGGCGGCGCGCAAAGCCAGACTGCGAAGACTTCGATATCCTCTGAGCCTGGCGGGGGGAGCAGCAGCAGCAGCAGCAGGGAGGGGGGGGGCAAGACCGACGGGGAGAGCAAAATAAGGGAGGACAAGACAGAGGGAAGCACCTGTGCGAGCGGAAAGTCCGACACGTGTGATCTGGCCTGAAGACGCTTCACAGTGCACCCACAGTTGAAGTCGAAACCAAAACTGGAGCGCACAGAAATCAGAAGGACCCACCCTGCAGGTGTGGTCGACAGCAAATCGTTGAGCGGCGCTGCGGCCCCCCCTGAACACAAGCCCTCCAACAAGCACATCAGCCAGACAAGTCGGCGTTGCACCCTCGTGACTTGCTGGACTCTGGGCGCGTTTCGGCTCTGCCACGGCCGCTGCCGCCACTTTGTCAGGGCCGCCGACTCACGTTACGGCGACAGCGACGGTGGCTGTGGCCGATGAGTCCTAGCCTGGCGGCGTGCAGAGCCAGATTGCGAGGAGTTCCATATCTTCTGCGCCGGACGGGTGGGGCAACAGCATCAGCAGGGAGACGGGGGACAAGACCGACGGGGAGAGCAACGCATGACAAGACAAGACAGAATGGGAGTGCCCGCGCGAGCGGGAAATCCGACCCGGGTGAGTTGGCCTGAAGTCGTGTCACGGTGCGCCCACAGGTGAAGCCGAAACCGTAATTGAAATGCACAGGAGCATGGGACTTGCCAACCCTTCAGATTCGGTTGACAGCGCATCGTTGAGCGGCGCTGCAGCCCCCCCTGAGCACAGCCCCCCCCCCCCCCCGAGCATCGGCCAGGCGCCTCTGTTTTGCACCTTCGTGCCTTGCTCGGCTCTGGGCGCGCGTCGGCACTGCCGCGGCCGCCGTCGCCCCCTCGTCAGGGCCACTGACTCGGGCGACGGCGACAGCGACAGCGGCGGCGGCCAACTCGCCCAAGCCTGGCGGCGCGCAAAGCCAGATTGTGAGGGGCCCGATATCCTCCGAGCCAGACGGGGGGAGCAACAGCAGTAGCAGGGAGAGCAGGAAGGACCGACGGGGAGAGCCAGACAATACAATGCAGCACAGGGGAGCTCTCGCGCGAGCGGAAAATCAGATTTGGGCGATCTGGCCCGAGGGCGTCTCACGGTGCACCCACAGCTGAAGCCGAAGCCAAAGCTGAAGTACACAGAGACATCGGAAGGGTCCACCCTGCAGTTTTTGATGGACCGCGGTTCGACTCTGGGCGCGTTTCGGCGACGCCGCGGTGGCCGACGCGCCCATGCTTGGCGGCGCGCCAAGCCAGACTGCGAGGTGCGCGATATATTCTGAACCAGGCGGGGGGATTAACGGCAGCAGCATGGGGGGGGGATGCCGACCGGGAGAGCAGGACAAGGCAGGACAAGACAGAGGGGAGCCCCCGCGCGAGCGGAAAATCCGACTCGCGCGATGCGGCCCGCAGGCGTTTCGCGGTGCACCAGCAGCTGAAGCCAAAGTCAAAGTTGAAGTGCACAGAAACATCATGAGGGCCTGCCGCGCAGACTTGGTCGACGGCGCATCGTTGAGCGGCGCTGCAGCCTTCCTGAGCACGCGCCCCTAGCCAGACACGTCGGGTTTGCACCCGCCTGCCTCGCTAGACTCTGGGGGCGTTCCGGCGCTGCCATTGCCGCCGTCGCCCCTTCGTCAGGGCCGCCGACTCGGCCGGCGGCGACAGCGGCAACGGCGGCGGCAGGCGCGCCCAATCTTGGCGGCGCGACTGCGCGGAGTTCGATGCACTCTCGAGCCGGACGGAGAGGTCAACGGCAGCGGCAGGGAGGAGGGTAAAACCGATGGGCAGAGCTAGACAGGCAACGCAAGACAAAACAGGACAGAAGGGGAGAACCCGCGCGAACAGAAAATCCGATTCGGTCGATCTGGCACGAGGGCGCTCCACGGCGTCGCGGCCGAAGCCACATCACCATGCGACGGGGAATGGAGAGGGCCCGCCGCGCAAATTTGGTCGACGGCACATCGTCAAGCGGCGCCGCAGCGCCTCCTGAGCACAGGCCCCCACCCCCAGAGCATCAGTCGGACAAGTCGGATTTGCGCCCTCGTGCCTTGCCGGGCGTCGGGCGCGTTTCGGCGCTGCCACGGCTGCCGCGGCCCCGCCGTCGGGGCCGCCGACTCGGGCGGCGGCGACGGCGACGGCGGCGGCGGCCGACGCGTCCAAGACTGGAAGCGCGCATGGCCAGATTGCGGGGAGTTCGATATCCTCCGGGCCGGGCGCGGGGGGCAACGCAGCAGGAAAATGGAGGGGAGGCAGGCAAGACAAGACAAAGCAGAGGGAGCACCTGCGTCCAAGCCTTGCGGCGCTCAAGGCCAGAGCGCGAGGGGCCCGATATCTTCTGACGACGGCGGGGGGCGGCGGAAGCTGCCGGGGGGGGGGGGGGGGCACGACCGACGCGGAGAGCAAAACACGACAAAACAACAGATGGGAACACCCGCACGAGCGGGAAACCCGACTTGGGCGAGCTGGCCCGACGACGTTTCCCGGCGTACTTACAGCCGAAGCCGAAACCAAAGCCCATTCTGCAGAGGCGCGGTTGACCGCGCATCGTTGAGCGGTACTCCAGCCCCCCCTGAGCGCAGCCTCCCCCCAGAGCATCGGCCAGACACCTCGGGTTTGCACCCTCGTGTGTTGCTGGGCTCTGGGCGCGCGTCGGCACTGCCACGGTCGCCGTCGCCCCCGTCGTCAGGGCCGCCGACTCGGGCGGCGGCGACGGCGACAGCGGCGGTGGCCGACGCGCCCTAGCCTGGCGGCGTGCAAAGCCAGACTGCGAGGGGCGCGATATCTTCTGCGCCGGACGGGGGGAGCAACGACAGCGGCGGCAGCGGCGCGAAGCGGGGGGTGACTGACGGGGAGAGTCAGGACAGGACGAGGCATAGGAGGGCACCCGCGCGAGCGGAAAATCCGACTCGCGCGATGCGGCCCGAACACGGCGAAGCCGAAGCCAGAGATGAAGAACGCAGGAATTAGAAAGGCCAGCCCTGCAGGTTTGGTCGACGGCACATCGTTGAGCGGCGTCGCAGCCCCCTCTGAGCACGGGCCCGGCACAGAGGATCAGCTAGAAAAATCGGGTTCGCGCCCTCGTGCCTTGCTGGGCTCTGGGCGCGTTTCGGCTTTGCCACTGATGCCGTGCCCCCCTCGTCAGGCCCACCGATTCGGGCGGCGGCGACGTCGACGGCGACGGTGGCCGACGCGCCCAAGCCTGGCGGCGGGCATAGCCGGACTGCGAGGAGCCCGGCGTCCTGCGAGCCTCCGAGCCGGATCGGGCGAGCAACAGCAGTTGCAGGGGGCCACGGGGGGGGGGGGGGGGGGGGCAAAGCCGACGGGGAGAACAGGGCCATGCATGACGCGACAGAGAGGGGCACCTACGCGAGCGGAACGTCCGACTCGGGCGAGCTGGCCCGATGGCGCACCACGGCGCACCCACGGCTGAAGCCAACGCCAGAGCTGTAGCGCAGAGAAATGTCACGGGCCCACCCTGCAGATTCGGTTGACAGCGCATCGTTGGGAGGTGCTGCAGCCCCCCCCGAGCGCGGGCCCCCCCCAGAGCTTCGGCCGGAAAGTTCGGGGTTTGCACCCCCCTTGTGCCTTGCTGGGATCTGGGCTTTGGGCGCGTTTCGGCATCGCCACCGCCCGCGTCGCCCCTTCGCCAGGGCCACCGACGTGGGCGGCGGCGACATAGACAGCGGCAGTGGCCGACGCGCCCAAGCCTTGCGGCGCGCGAAGCCAGATTGCGTGGAGGTGATCCTGACGGGGGAGGGGCAAATGCGGCGCCGCGGGGGGGGGGGGGGGGGGGGGCAAGACCGACGGGGAGAGCAAGCCAAAACAAGACAAGATTGAGGTGGGCACCTGCGCGATCGGGAAATCCGGCCCGGGCCAGCTGGCCCGAAGGCGCTCCGGGGTGCACCCGCAGTTGAAGCCGAAACCCAAGCTGAAGTGCACAGACACATGGAATGGAAACCACTCTGCAGATTTGGTCGACAGCGCATGGCCGAGCGGCGCTGCGG